GGCGGCGGCGCCACGCGCGTCTTCGCGCCGAAGAGGGCCAATCCGCCGCTCCGCGAAGCGAGCCCGACCGCCGCGATCGCCATCACGCCCACCGCGACGCCACCGATGCGCGCGCGCGTCCAAAATCCATCTGTTCCCGTCGCCGCCGCGCTCGATCGCTCGCGGTGTCGTCCCTCACGTCGTCGCCGCTTCTCAACACCATGTTTTTTCGACGTCTTCTTCACGACGTCCGAATCGCTCCCACTCGACGACGCCGACCGCGATCGTCCGTCCGTCGCGCGCTCGACATCGACCGCGCTATCGCGGTCATCATCGTCGCTCTCGGTGGCGAGCAAGCGCTCGCGCTCGCCCGTCGCTCGCCCCATGACGGGCGCGTCGCCGACTACGGTGTTACGTCTCGCGCGTGCGTCTGTATTTATCCCTCCGGTCGCGTGTGCCATTGTCTCGATTCATGACTCGAGCGTGACCCCCGCTCGAGCGTCCACGTATTTCCCAAAAAAGTCGCGCCACGCCGTGTATAGGAATGCCAAACCCTCAGTATAAAATGTCAAACCGTATCTTGAAAGCGTATCTTCGCCCCGCGCGAACGATCGCGACACTTCACGACCCTTTCGTCGACGAACATGCTCGCTCGTACCGCTTTACCCACCAAGACCACCGCGAGCTTCAACGGGTGCGTGTGATCGAGCGTTTTGACGCGTCTCGCGCGGCGCGCGGTGGACGACCAAGGCGTCGAGGGCGACGTTGGATCGATGGCGAGCTCGAGCTCTGGGCTATCGTCGAGCGAGAGATTCGCTCGCCGTCGACGCGCTCGTCGATCAGAGGTGCATGAGAGAGACGGATACTGACGGTGCGATTGTGTTCTTATGATATCACAGCCGTGTGGCGAAGCAAACGCGCACCGCGAAGCGCGGCGCGAAGGTTGCCGCGCGCGCGTTCGACGACGTGAACGTCGTCATGTCGGCGTCCAACGCGCTCGCGCTCTACCTCGGTCGCTTCGTTTTCTTGCCGTACCAACGCGCTCAAGTCGAGCGTGTGGGTATGCCGACGCAAAACGGCCAGACGCACTTCGCCGCGGGCGACACTCGCGCGGAGGAGGCGTCGTTCATCACGTCCACGAACGACCCGGCTGGTTTCAACTTGGTCGACGTCTTCGCGTGGGGCTCCATCGGCCACGCGATCGGTTTCTTGGCCCTCGCGAGCCAATCCGCGCAACAAATGCTTTAAGCGAGCGCGTTAGTCTTGAGTTTGTGATGCGCAGAAGATGATGAGCACTCGTTTCCATCTACAATTTTTACGTTTCGAGCGCTCGGCTATTTGTCTCTAGGTGCTAAGAGTTCTGTGATGACTGGTTTGTCCTGCGGCGTTCGCCTCAAGAAGTGCAGCGCATTCGGACCGAGGTCGGCGATGTTTGTGAAGTCCGCCGCCTGGATGTAATCGTTCACGCGCTCGAGTTTGAGCAACGAGAGCGCCTCGGCGTTGAGGTCCAGCTGGTACGCGTCGTGCAACTGCAGCACCGTGCGCGCAAGCTGCTCCGGAGTCGCCAAGTCCTCTTCGTACTTGAAGTTCGCGCACTCTTGGCCGGTAGACTTGAGCGCCCGCCTGACGAAATCGAACCACTTTTTGTCGCGATCGACGAAGCCGTTGAAAGCGACTCGATTGAACTTGATTTGCTCGCGTGCGCCGAGCTCGGTGAGGTTGCGCACAGTGATGTTGTACGCATCGTAAGGTTCGGCATACGCACGAATCTGCTGGAGAGGAGCCGTTCCGGCCGCTGCGCGAGCCTGCGACGCGTACATGTCAAGCTTATTCGCTCGCTGCAAGCATAAAAGCACTGGAGCGTCCGACGCGTCAACCTTGTCCATCTTGAGTATGCGATTTAACGTCACCGAAGAGCGCTTGAACAAGGCTTCGTCGTGGTACAGCGACGCACCGATCATAACGACGTACACCTTGTCTATCCCCGCATCCCAAGCCCTACTCTGGACCTCGTTCAAGAACTCCGCCGGGTAGTTGAGCGATGCGTCGATAGTGGCTTCTTTGACTCCGATCGCGAGCAAATAGGTTCGAAGCTTCCATCGCCACGATCCGTCATCGGCTTTCGGAAGCGTGTTCACCGACCACCAGTCACCGAGAGAGATGTAGTTTGCGAAATATGCGTCCGAGCGCATCGCCCCGTCTCGCTCCCAGAGCGTCGAGTCCAGAGGATGATTCGACGCTGTCGCGAGCGCCTCGCCCAGGAGCGAGGCGCCGCCGCGAAGCGAAGACATGGAGACGATGAGTCGAGCCTTCTTGTACGTCCCTTTGGATTGATGCAATCGAATACGAGTAATCAATGCCGGCGCCGGTGCGGGCGAGAGCATGCGGATGAACGACATGGCCCACTGATGGACGAGTTCCTCGTTTGACGGAACATTGCCCTCGAGCCATTCAACGACCATATTTTGTCGATCCTTCGCCGCGCACCCGTCTTGCCAGCTCGCGCCGTGGAACGAGAAGTGATCCATGGCGTACGCCCGCGGGTTTTCGTCCGCGATCGGCGAGCACGGTATGGATATGTTCCAAAATGACTCATCCGCCTCCTTAACGAGGACACTCTCCGACTTGGTCGGATTCCAATAATCCGAGCCCGTGGTCAATCGCTTGTACTTGCGCCATAGATACGTCGAAAACGATTGTTCCTCTCCATTCAGACTTCGCCAATTCACAGCGGTGTGCTCCATCGCGGCCCGCGCTTCGGCATCCTTTTTAGGCGGCGCCTCGACGTGGCGCACGCACGTGTCGTACTCATTCTCCCCGCACCCGAGCGGATACGCCACGTCGCGATCGAGACGCATCACAGTGTCCTCTAACCCATTCGTAGTGATAACGTGCGATAACCACACTGGACCGGTGATCGCGTTCGCGACGCACCGTTTACTAAAGTCCACGTTCTCCAACCAACCCGTCGAGTTGAGCAGTGTCTCGAACACCCTCGCGCCCGGCGCCGGAGCGCCAAACATACCGGCGCTCAAAAAACGCGAGTCCCCCGGATCGCTCACCATGAACACCTCTTTGTTCTCCCGTAACGCTTGGTGGAACAAGGGCGCGACGTCCTTGAATAGCTCCACGTTTGTGTCCAAATACAACCCCCCGTACCGCAACAACACCTCGTACTTCATCAAATCCACCAACATCGAGTACACTGGCTCACCCGTGATCTCTCTAAAAGCCCGTCCGCGCTCCAACGTCGCGTGCGTCAGCGGAAAATTCGCCGCCCCGATGTCTCCCTCCGTCCACAGTTTCATCCGCCACCCGCTCGCCTCCAACACCTTTCGATTCCGCTCAAAGATCAATCGCTTCACCCCGGGCATCTCGCTTCCGAGCCAGACCTCGTGCGCGACTCGAACGAACGATCCATCGTCCCCAGCCTTCGATCGCGCCTCCTCGACGTACACCAACCCGCACACGACGAGCAGGACGACGACGCAGACGACTATCGGGTGCGTGCACACGTCGCTCCACGCGTTGAGGTGTCGTCGAAACCACGACCGCGCTCGCCGTCGCGCGCGTCCCGCATCACCGGACAGCAACCCGGCCTCTTCGTCCACCGGTCTCGACGTCGTAGGCGCGACGCCGACGTCGGCGTCGCGCGCCATCGCACGCCGCGCGCTGACGCTCGCGGTCGTCGAGTCTTTGGTGTTGCGACGGGTTTAGGGTTTAGCGTGTCGCGCGCACAGTACTTTTGTGATTTGTATACGCGCGCGTGCGTGTCGTATCTGAGGTACTTTTACGCGATCAAATCACACCGACGGTTCGTCTCCCCGCGCGCACGCCCGCGCGCGCGTCGACGGCGGCGTCGACACACGCGCGCGCGCGAGCGGTCGATCGAGCGCGCGCGTGACGTCGCGAAGGATTCACCCTCGATCGCGACGCGACTTCGAGGTCGTGGACGACCGACGGCGATGGCGCGAAGTGGTGTGGCCAACGCGAGAGCGCTGGGTGACTCTTCGCCTCCTCGGAGGATGCGATTTCTTCTCGTCGGTCTCGTCGCGCTCGCGCTCGCGCGGTCGGCGCTGGCGACGGCGGGAACGCACTGCACGACGAATGCGAATGACTTGGCGCCGTGCATGACCTCGCCCGGGTCCGTCGCGTGCTGTACCGCGATCAACGCTTGGAACGCGAACGGATGCTTCTGCGACGGCGTCGCCACGTCTCTGACGACGACGCAATCCGCGGGGGCGACGCAGTTCGCGCAAGCGTGCTCGATCACGCGAACTACGTCGTCTTCGGATGCGACGTGCGCGCAGGCGCTGACGAATCAGGGTGCGGGTTCGCCGCCGTCCTCGCCTCCTACGCCTTCTCCATCCACCGGACCAGATGCTCCGACGAACGTCTACGCCCTGCGCACGGGTGCGAGCGAGATCACTCTGGCGTGGACCGCGAGTGCATCGAGTGAGGTCGTGGCGTACGCCATCGACGCGTGCGATGCGGCGAATCTCACGACGTGCGCGTCGCCCACGCGAACGACGGTTTCCGCAGCCGCCGGTGCGTCGTACGTCTTCTCCGGCGTCACCAACCCGACCACAGTGGTGTACCGAATCAAGGCGGCGACGCTCACTGAGTCGAGCATGTCTTCACCTGCCACTGCGGTGCCCGCCCTAGACGCTCGACAATCTCTGCTCGTCTCCACTGCTTCGTCGGCTTCATCGGTTTCTTCGTGTGGCTCTTGGGCGACGCCGTGCGATTCCATCAATACTGCGCTCTCGGCGACCACGTCGACGACGACGCGATCCATTTTGGTTCTTCCTGGAACACACACGTCGTCGTGTGGGTCGTCGCTCGGTTCGTCCGGTGCGGTCAACATCGCATCTGTGCTCGGCGCGACTACGGCAATTTTGGATTGCGCCGAAACCGCTCGCGGGTTCGACATCTCTGGCAGCGACGCCGTGAGCATCTCCGGCGTCACCATCAAGCGTGGTCTCGCGGCCACGGGCGGCGGTATCAAGATACTCAACGCGTCAACGGTGACGATCGACAGCGTCGACGTCGTGCAGTGCAAATCCCTGACCATGGGCGGCGGGTTACACGCCATAAACTCGCCGGTGACGGTTCGACACTCTCGATTCATGTCATGCAGCGGTGGTAACGACAACTCCGGCAATAACGTCCGAGGTGGCGGCGCGTATCTACAGACGGGCTCCCACGCTACGCTCACAAACGTCAGTTTCATCGGTAACACGCTCGTTGATAGCGGGAAGGGCGCCGGATTGAACGTGGACGGAAACTCAAACATCACCGCCAACGGCTTGACGCTTACGAACAATCGCGCGTTCTTCGCCGCCGGTCTGTTCATCGGTCAAGGCTGCCACGGCAGCTTTTCCAACGTCATCGCGACCGGAAACGAAGCTTCTTACGGCGCCGCGATCGGTGTCTTCGTCGGCGGTAAGCCGACGTTTAACACCGGGCTCATATCGAAGAATGTTGCCACGCTCTGGGGAGCCGGCGTCATCGTCTACACCGGCGCCTATGCCGAGTTTACTGGCTTCTCGTTCGAGGACAACATGGCTGAAATTGGTGGTGGTATCTTCATGTACTCTCAATCCCGAGCGAAGGTTTCGAACTCTCGCGTTCTGTCGAACCATGTGTCCAAATACGGCGCGGGCATGCGGTTGGAAGACCGATCAGTACTCGAGATGGAGAACTCCCGTGTGTCGCATAACATCGCGAAACTTGGAGCCGGTGGTGCACACGTCACCTCCGGTTCATCGCTAACGCTCACCGGCGGTGAGTTCGTGAACAATACGGCGCCGAACGGTGCAGGTTTGATTTGCGATGGCGGCGTTCATGGCGGTGGTCGAATCATCAGCTCGGGCGTCACGATCCAGTCCAACGTTGCCTCCGGTCTGGGCGGGGCGATGTACCTCGCCGGTGCGTGCGAAGCACGTGTCACGGGGTCGTCCATCGTTGAATCGAACTCTGCCGTGAGTGGATCGAGCTGTCGTTCGTTGTACGTAGTCGGCGGCGGGGCTTTCGCTCTGTTGCCGAATACGCCGACAGCGCCGACCAAGCTCACGCTCGATGACTCGACCATCGTTCGAGAGAACGAGGCGCCGACGGGCGGGGCGATATTTGTTATTCCGGCGGCTTCTTCAGCCGACACAAACTCTCCTCGAGGAGCGCAGATTACTGTCACGTCGGCGACGCTGTCGGCCAATCGAGCCATCGGCTGCCAATCGACCATTCCTGGACGCGGTGGTGCCATGTTCATCGCCGCGGGGAACCACACGTTCACTCAAGTCTCCCTGACCGACAATGGTGCCACTAGTGATGGTGGCGCCGTCTTTACCGCTGGCGTCGGTGCATTCACGATGAACATGTGCACGGCGACTGCTAACAATGCCACTAAAAACGGTGGCGCTGTCTCGCACGAGGGCGCCAAGCTGAAAATCGTAGGAGGCGAAATCCAATCGAACGTCGCGATGAGCGGCGGTGGTGTTTACATTGCATCCACGGCCTCGACGCAACCGGCATTCGCTATTCTCGGATCGTCTCTCAAGGGGAACACGGCGACGCGTGGTGGAGCGATGTACTTTGCGACGAACCTCGCCCTCGGGTCGCTGCAACAACTCTCCTTAGACACGAACTCCGCGACTTCCGGTGCCGACGCGTACTGGCTCCGCTCATCGAGCGCCAACGTCGAGTACACATGTACGAGCTGTGCGTACGCGCACGGCAGTGGTGTGACTTCGCGCATTGTCGCAACAGAGGCGCTCGCTTCCACGGCGCAGACTGCGCTCAAGTCTCGAGTGCAATCTGGGAAAGTCACCGATGATTTCTCCGTACAGCTCGTCGATTTCTACGGCCAGCCCGTGACGAGTGAACTCACGTCCGTGACTTGCAGCGTTTCGCCACTCACCGGTGCGTCGCTACACGCGCGTCACAATCTCGAAATCAGCGGTTCTTCGTCTTCGGCGACATCCGCCGGTGTCGCCACCTTCAGTGGATCCATCTTGCGCGGCGAGCTCGGTAAAGATTACACCGCTAGAGTGACGTGCACTCGCGATACCACGATGACCCTCACAAGCATCTCCGCGCTTGATATTCCCGTACAAATCGGGTTCTGCCTCGCTGGATCTGAACCGCTCGTGGTCACGTATGCGGACGGCGTCGCCGTCGCTCGAGAGTGCACCGTGTGCAAAGATCGCACGTTCAACTTCGACGGCGTCAAGTGTCAAACGTGCCCAATGGGCGGAGATTGCCGCGGCGGTGCCTCCCTCGAATCGCTTCCCGGATGGTGGCGTTCGTCCGACAGCGCAGAGGTTCTCTTCTCGTGTCCGGTTCGCGAATCGTGCGTCGCCGGCAACGCCACGGGCACTCGCGCGTGCGAAATCGGGTACGAAGGACCAGTATGCGCGCTCTGTGCCAAGGGCTACCGTGCATGGGGTGGTAAGTGCTCGAAGTGCGGGTCTAACGCGGCGTTGGCCGTGCCAGCACTCGGCATCATTGCGTTTACCGCCTTCTTTGTGTACATTTTCCGCAAGCCGCTCAAGCAAGTCGCCGGCACCGTCGTCTTCTCCGCGATTCTCTTCGTGGCGCAGATCTTGGGTTTGCTCAAAGAGTACGACATCACGTGGCCAAGCTCCGTCGGACGACTCGTGGAGGTGCTCGACATCACCAACTTCAACATGGAGTCTCTCACGCCGGGGTGCTCGTCGAGCGAGTCAAACTATTACTCGACTTACGTCGCGGCGGTAATCGTCCCTCCGGCTGTGACCGTCTTCTGCTTGATCTTGTACTTTGTGATGGGCCTCGTCGCGCGCAACTTGCCGTACGCCAGACTCGCAGCGATCGCTAGCGACGCGCAGAAGAAATGTCGGCGCAATGCCGCATGGCTCGTCGTCCTGTCCTATTCCGGCGTCGCCAAGACAGTTCTTCAGCTGTACAATCAACGCCATCTCGACGTCGGCGTCTTTATGAGACGCGATTACTCCATCGTCACCTCCACGGAGGAGCACTTGGTATATCGCATCACCGGTTTCGTCGCCTTGCTGCTATATCCGATCGGCATTCCTCTGGGTATCACGTACATCTTGGTACGTAACCGTCATCGTCTTGACCATCCGGAGGTTGAACACAACTTTGGTTTCTTGTACGTGAACGTCCGTGAACAGCTTCCGTTCTGGGAGCTGACCGGTCTTTTCCTTAAGTTCGTGCTGGCCGCCGTGCCGGTGTTCGCCAACGAGCGCCTTCTTCGCGCGAAGAAGTCTGCATTAGACACGGCGAGCGATTTCAACGGAGTGACGCAACTGTCCATTGCGCAACTCGTCGTCGGCATTCTGTTCATCGCCGTCGTCGCCGTGCGTCCATACCGAAAGTCGTTACACAACGTGCAGTTCTCTCTCGCCCTCGGCGTGATCTTCTCCTTCATCACGCTCAGTGCGAACGTCTTCAACGCTGAAGATACGTACTCGCAGAAGGAAAAGACTGGCGTCGCAGCCGTCGCTGTCGCGCTCGCAACCGTCGTCATGAGCATCGCCATCGTCAAGTCCGCCCTTGTCGGTGAGTTTGCGTCCAAATCCGACGCCAAACTCGACGATAAACCGGGAAAACCCATCGACGGAAGCGACTCGACCGTCGCGCTCAAATCCGTCGTGTGAGCCGCCTCCATCCGTCCGAGCCGCCGTTCCGGCGTCCCCGACCATCCGCGCTCGCGTCGACCTCAGCGTCTGGTCATCGCCGGTCGAACACGTCCCGAATAACTTATCACTCTCGTTTTCTTAATAACGCTCCGAGCGCGAAGATATCTATGTCATCGAAGTCGCGCCTCTTTGTCTCCCGCGCCTCGGGCGACCCACCGCGCCCTCCACCACTCTTCACAACCTCGCTCGTCATGCGCAGACGCTCGGACGCTCGGTCGACCTCGACCGAGCCCCAATCCCCATCCACGTCGCGCGAGCGACGTTCCGCGACCCCGGTGAGTCCGTCCGGGGTGAAAACACCGACGAAGTCACAACAAGAACGCTCCACCTCGGCACCGACCTCGCTCGCGCCCGCGCCGTCGACGCCAGCGAACGATTCGTACGCCGGACCGTGGCGCGGGGACGATGCGTCACCGTGTGAGAGTTTACGCGACGCGCGACGGGCGATCGAGTCGCGGGCGCGGGCGTTGGCGGCGGAGGAGGCGCGAGAGCTTCAGCGAGGACGAGACGGGGGCGCGCTCGGCGGCGGCGGCGGCGGAAAGATGGGTAATGCGAGAGCGAGCGATGCGATTTCAATGGATACCGCGGTGAAGGAAATCACGGGCGGTGGTAGAGCGCGAGGACGCTGATGTCGTCGACGTCGAAAACGCGTCGAGCTTCTTCTCCGCGTCACGCTCGGCGTCCGCTCGGGCGGGTGTAACAACGAATGAACGGTTTCAACACTCCCGCCGCACTTCCCGACGCGATGCCTCGCACGGCAATTCAAGCGAGTCACGATGTGCCATCGACGAGCGCGCGAGCGAGATCGACGCGCGGCGTCACGAGACGCGAGCTCGCGGCGTTCCTCGCGCTCGCGCCCAGCCTTCGGGTCAACTCTGCGCGCGCGAGAGAGGTCGATCCAGCGCTTCGAGACGCGCTGCGTATTGCTCGCGACGCGCGACGCGATATCGCGGATGCAAGAGAGGCGCTGAAGCTCGCAAAGGCGCGCGCAGACGCGTTGCCGTTGCGGGAGTTGGAGAAGAAGCTCAAGTCGTCGGCGGCGCGCGAGCTCGAGCGGAGCGCCGAGACGATCGATGCCTTTGTCTCGAGCGCACCATTGGAGGATTGGGAGCAAAAGGCTTGGAAAGGCGTAAAAGACGAAGAGTTCTTGACGCTTTCCACGACGGAGCGTTTGCCCATGGCCCGACGACCGAACGATTTTCTGTGTGCCGTATTCAGCTGTTATAACGATCCGCGGGCGCCGCCGAGCACTGACGCCCTGCTCTCGCTGCGCTTGACGAAAGACGGCGTGGCGATGGGGTTACGAGGAGACCCTAGGATCACGTTCGAGGGTATGGAGGCGTCTTTAGACGACGTGTTGGAGAAGATAGACGCGTGGCTTGCGCTCGCACCATCCATATCGTAGACGCGGCATCGAGACGAGACGAGACCACTCCAGAGACCACGGCGTCTCGTGCGCTCATAGCGGCGCGACTGCGTTTTTCATTTCCTAAACTTCACTAGATGCCTTCGCTCACGATCCGGTACTGCTCCTTCGCGTCGCGCAAAATTCCTACTGAACGCACGCATACGCGCCGTGCGCGTCTACGCGCCACACAAACGGACGCCATGTCTCGACCGATCGTCGTTGTCGGCGCCGGTAACGCCGCCGGTTACCTCGTGCGCGCTCTCGTCGCCGCTGATCCCGCGCTCGGTGCCAAAACTCTCGTTCTCGGCGCCGAGGACGTCGCTCCTTGTACGTTCGCTCTGATGATTTAATCCAACGGCGCGCGACTGACTCTCTGTTTCTTTCAATCGTAGACGAGCGTCCGGCGCTCACGAAAGCGTTTTTACACGAACAAACGCCACCGCGATTACCCGGATTCCACACGTGCGTGGGCGGTGGCTTCGATCGACAAACGCCCGAGTGGTACGCCGAGAGCGGGGTGGAATTGAAGCTGAACTCGACGGTGACGAGCGCGGATTTCAAGGCGAAAACGGTGACCACGGCGGGCGGTGAGTCTTTTGCGTACGAGACCTTGGTGGTTGCCACGGGATGCGGCGTGATCAGACTTCCAGAGTCCATCGGGGGTGGACTCCGAGGGGTGCACTACGTGCGGAACAACTCGGATGCGTTGGCGCTCACAGAGGCGATGTCAAAAGCTAAGAAGTGCGTCGTCATCGGCGGTGGTTACATCGGTTTAGAGGTCGCCGCGTCGTGTGCGACGCGCGGATTGAACCCTGAGATTATCATGATGGAGCCGCACTGCATGGCGAGGCTTTGGAACGGAGATATTGCAAAGTACTACGAGGCTTTGTACGAAGCCAAGGGCGCAAGGTTTCATCGTGAGAGCAAGGTGAAACGGATTCTGGCGGACGACGCAACGGGCGCGGCGAGAGGTGTTGAGCTCGAGAGCGGCGTAGTGATCGATTGCGATTTGGTTGTTGTCGGCATCGGCGCTACTGCGCCGTTGCCGTTCGCAGGATTGGATGCTCCCGAGGGACGTCTCGGCGGCGTCAAGGTTGACTCTCGATTCCGAGCGTCCGGAGCCGACATCGCTCCGGGTAGTGTCTACGCCGTCGGCGACATCGCGGCTTTCCCGCTCAAGATGACGAATGAGATCGTGAGAATGGAGCACGTCAAGCACGCGCGGGACAGCGCGACGCTCGTCGGTAACCTGATCGCTGGCAAGACGGACGCCGAATACGATTACACCCCCTTCTTTTACAGCCGTGTGTTCGAGCACCCCGGCACCGAACGCGCCGTGAGCTGGGTCTTCCATGGCTTGCAACGCGGCGAGATCATCACCGTCGGTGATTTCAACCCTAAGCTCGCCGCATTTTGGGTCGAAAACTCAAAGTGCGTCGGCGTCATGCTCGAATCCGGCGCCCCGGAGCAAAACTCCGCCCTCGCCGCCGCGACGCGTTCGGGTAAATCCATCGACGTCGACGCCCTCCGCGCCGCCGCATCCGCCGACGACGCCATCGCGCTCATCCTTTAACCGTTCCTTTCCCACATTTACGCTCTAATACCGATCATTTCAAGTCAAATCAATAGTCGTCCGGTCACCCCTCCTCGCTGACATGCGTGTGCGAAGCGCCACGTCACCAAGCGCATCGTCGTCCTATCCCTCGAGACCCCGACGCGCTCTCACGCGCGAGGGCGTCCGATTCCGCGCTCGTGCGAGAGGGTCGCGCGATGTTCACGTCGTCCGCGTCGTCCGCGGCGTCCTCGAGCGCGCGCGTCGCGAGCGCGGCGTCGACGCGCGCGAGTGCGTCGCGAGTGAAAACTTTCAGTCGAGTGGTTCCGTGCGCATCGTCGCGTGCGAGCGTCGTCAGCGCGCGATCGACGGCGAACAGAGGCGTTAGGTCGACGCGTACGGATGTGCGCGGTTCAACGTTGCGGAGATGCGCGTCGTCGGCGGTGGAGTTGCCGGGAACCGCAGCCGCGACGGGCGACGGGTCGAGCTGGTTGTCCGCGGACGCGACGCCGAGAAACGACGCACTGGATAGGACGATTCTGGCTTTGTTCGTCCCGGCGATGTTAAACTTTTTAATTATTCCGCTCGTAGGGGCGGTTGATGTGTTTTGGGTCGGAAAGCTGGGCGACGCGGTGGCGCTCGCGGCGCAAGGGGCGGCTAATCAAGTGTTTCAGAGCGCGTTTTGGATAATATCCTTCATCCCGAGCGTCATCGCGCCGGTGGTCGCGAAGGCGGCGGCGGGCGGAGATAAGAAGGAGCTCTCGACGAAGATCGGGGAGGGGATCTTCTGCGCTGCAGTCGTCGGGTTCATGGGGATGGTTTTTATGTTTTCGCTGCAAGAAAAGTGCCTGGGCATCATCGGCGTCGTCTCAGGGAGCGAGACGGCGAGGCAGGCGGCGCCGTACGTGGGATTCCGTGCGCTAACGTTCATTCCGGCCATCGTTTCCACCGTGGGATTCGCCGCATTTCGAGGTACCCTGGACGTGATGACGCCGATGAAGATCACGCTAGCGAGTCAAATGTTGAACGTTGTCTTGGACCCGATCCTTATCTTTGGCGTCGGTTTCATCAAGTCGATGGGGGTCGCTGGCGCCGCGATCGCGACGTCAATGTCAGAAATCTTCTCCGCCGGACTGTACGTGTCACTTCTGGTGAAACGCAAGCTGGTTGAGTTCAAGGATATGTTTAGACCACCGAGCGCGCAGGCTTTGGGTACGCTCCTCGTCGGCGGCGCTGGGGTGCAGCTTCGAGCGGTGGCGCAGAATATTACCTTTTTGGCTGTTATGCGCGCCATCCTCACCATGGACTCAACGGGCACCGCCGCCGCGGCGCACACGATCTCTTCGCAGGTGTTCCAGCTCGGCGTCATTGCCATCTTGGCTCTTAGCACCATCGCAACCATTTTGATCCCGCAGCGTATGAACTCGATGGAAAAGGGCGGTCCGCGAGAGGCGAAGCGCGTAGCTGATCGCCTCCTCGTCTGGGGTCTCGGCGTCGGCTTCATTCTCGCCGTTTTGCAGGCGGGAATGATCCCATTCATCGGCGTCTTTTCCTCACTTTCCGAGGTTCAAGAGCAGGCGAAGATTCCGTGCCTCATTGGCGCGCTCCTGCAGCCGCTCAACGGCATTGTCTTCGTCGGCGAGGGCTTGATGCAGGGTCACCAGGCGTTCTTACGTCTCGCCGGTGGCATGTTCGTCTCCACGGGCGCGATGCTGGTCGCTCTAAAGTTTTATGGCTCCACGCTTGGCGGTGTCTGGTTTTGCTTCACCGTGTTCAACACGTTCCGACTCTTCTTCGGCTTGCGTCACCACTTCTTCGACGGCCCCTTGGCTCCGGCGAACATGGAAGCCACGATCGCCAAGCTCGAGCTTGAGACTGCCGCGAAGAACGTGAAGAACGACTGAGTACTAGATAGTCGCGAAACATCGCAAACAACTGTAGGACTCGAAGAGTACGTGTAATAGTTTTGACGCCGCTTTGCTCACCGCACTTCCACGCGCTCGACATCCCTGCCCAAATTCGTCGTCAGGTAACTAATGGGCCTTCTGAGCATCATTCGTAAGGTGTGTCGTGCGCGCGCGCGCGCGATAGACGGCATCGAACCGTTTCGTTCGCTAAAAACAGTTGACTTCTCGCTCATCTTTGAATCATCTTCTCACGTCTCATGCTTTCTCTCGGCGATGCGCAGGTGAAACAACGCGAACGCGAGCTCAGATTCCTCGTTATCGGTCTTGACAACGCCGGGAAGACGACGATCGTGAAGCGGGTGAACGGGGAGTCGATCGATGAGATCTCACCAACGCTCGGGTTCAACATCAAGACGATGACGCACGGGGCGTACTCGTTGAATATTTGGGACGTTGGCGGACAGAAGACGCTCAGGTCGTATTGGAGGAATTATTACGAGCAGACGGATGGGTTGATCTGGGTCGTGGACTCGGTGGATGCGCGGAGGATGAGGGATTGCGCGTGCGAGCTCGCGGGCGTGTTGGGCGAAGAAAGACTGGCGGGCGCGAGCGTGTTGGTGTTCGCGAATAAACGCGACATCGCGGGCGCGATGTCCATCGAGTCCATAACAGAAGCGTTAGGATTACGGTCGTTGATTAACAGGCGGTGGCGCGTCGTGCCGTGCTCGGCGGTCACGGGTGAGGGCTTGCTCGAGGGATTCGACTGGTTGGTCAACGACTGCGCCGAGCGCATTTACTTGTTAGCGTGAAGATTGATCATGACGATGGCGAAGTCGATACGGCGACGACGGAGCGTAGAGAGATTTTTAGCACAAATCTTAGGGTGTAACATATAGCGCACAATCTTAGTATACCCCTCGGTCCGTCGTCCGAGTCAGCTGTCGCACGCCATTTGAACTCCTCCTCCACACTCATCGACCACCTATCTCGCGCGATCACTCAAGATGCCGCCCAAGCCGAAAACCATTCTGGACAAGGTTCTCGTCGCGATCGAGGACCTGAAATCGCCGACGGGGAGCTCGAGACAGGCGCTCGCGAAATATCTGAAAGAACACTTTGAACACGATAACCCATCGGCTCTCAAGCGCGCGCTGGACAAGGCGGTGAGCGATGGAAGGCTCGAGCAGCGCGGACAATCATACCTCGTTCCTGGAGTGACGTACGACGCGCCGGAAGAAGAGCGCGTGGAGATTGAGGTGCTGTCGGAGGGATTCGAGGAGAGCGGAAGATGTGAGAAAGGCGACCAGGTATGCGTTACGTACGTCGGGCGATTGAAGGCGACGGGAGAGGTGTTCGAGCGTTCGAGGGGGCCGTTTCGGTTCACGCTCGGTTACGGCGAGGTTATTAAGGGTTGGGAAGAGGGCGTTCTCGGGATGAAGGTGGACGAGACAAGACGGCTGACGATACCGCCAAAGTTGGCATACGGAAAACGAGGGAGTCCGCCCGAGATCCCGGAAGACGCCACGCTCGTGTTCGAGATGACGATGTTGCGCTTCGAGCCGGTGGTGTAAGCGCGCCTATCGCGATGTGGATGCCGACGACTCGGCGCGACGCACTCGACGCCAGTATTCGCCTTTCACCGCCATGCGTGGAACCACGCTCGCTTCGAGCGTTGGTCCGGCACGCGCCGCGTCAATGCGGGTGGTCACGTCAACATTAAGGCCAACGTCGATCGATTTTGTGTCCACGACGCTCATCGTGGACGACCTCGTCTTCGCCGACGGGACGACGCGGATGGCCGTGCTCGGCGGAGGTGGACCGCAAACGCTCTTTGGTGCGGCGCTCCATCGTGACGCGCTCACTTTGGGGCTCGTCGCTGGCGTTGGAACATTGGACTGTCCATCGGAGTGCGTTGAGTGGCTGGAGCGAATTGGCGTGGACGTGAGCGGTTTGTTACCGATGTCGGGAATGCAGACTCCGAGGGCGTGGCAAATCACGGAGAGCGACGGTCGACGGACGCAGGTCTGGCGTCCCGTCGCGAGTGATGCCTTGTACGAAATGCTGCGACCTCGTTTCGAGACGTGGCCGGAGCGGTTTAGAAACGCGCGCGCGGTTCACTTCGGGCTACACCCTGAGCGTCCGGACTACGAGCTCGTTCGAGCGCTTCGTGAAGACGGCGAAGTGGGACTGGTATCTATCGAACCGTTCACGCACGCGCTCAATCCGCTTTCGGTTGGCGAACTTCAACGTCTCGCTTCTCTCGGAGACGTCTTCAGTCCGAACGAGCGCGAGGCGAAGTCGTTCTTTCGAGACGGCGAAAAGATGTCGACGATGGATTTAGTCAAGGCGCTGTGCGACGCCGGAGCGCAAACTGTTTGCATCCGACGCGGGTCAAAAGGTGCAGTCGTGTACGACACGCATAAGAATCTAGGGTACCAGTGCGGCGCGTATTCGAACTGTCGCGTTGTCGACGAAACGGGATGCGGCAACGCGTTTTGCGGAGGATTTGCCGCAGCGTTGTGTTCGGGAGAGACGATACTGGATGGATTAGTGCTCGGCATAGCCGCATCGAGCATCATGCTCGAACACGTCGGCGTTCCTGTTGGGTCGATCGAACGTGAGCACAGGCCGGAGGCCGCGAGACGGGCGAAGATCATAGCGGCAGAAGTAGAGGAATTCCGGTTATTAGCAAACTGATTGTTACAACTTGATCAACACGCGTACCATAATAATGATATAGCGCCAACGTCGCGCGTCTCTCACTCCTCGTGCGGCGCCAACTCATACTCTTCCGGTTCAGGATCGCCTCCTGCATGGTAGAACGGGTGTTTTGAAGGCGACGCACGCCGGGTGTCGACAATGACCAGCGGCCGACACTCACAGTTCTTCGGCCACGGATAAAGGTGCTCCTTCACGACCTCGCACGGTTGGTGACCCCCCAAGCAGTACTCGACCATGAGGTTACACATGAACGCCGAGTGCGTGACGACGATGATGTCCGTTTCCTCCCTGTCGAAGCACCAATTCAAGAACTGCCTGCATCGCTGACGGAGCACATTCTCCGGCTCTCGGTTCTCCTTCCCGGGCTTCCAAAGCACGTCCTCATTCTCCTCAACGAGCGAAAAGTCAATCCCAGGAAACTCTGTTCTGTACTCATCGATCGTGCGCCTTCGGTCGCACGGATTCCCACCGATTTGCTCGCGAACCATCTCGAGCGCCAAAAATTTCTTTTTCCGACACATCCGCTCGTCCCGTCTCATCGCCGGCCGCTCGCACGATTTCATCTCTACCGCCCGCGTGGGCGCCATCAACACTTCTCCCTCCCCATCAGCCGTCCCGAACATCCCAGCGCACGTCTCCATCGCTCGCGTCAAAGGCGACACGACGACGAGCTCGCACCGCTCGAGCATCTTACCCATGGCCTCTCGCCGCTCCATCGTTCGTCGAAAGTGCTCGCACTGACCCCATCCGCGCCGCGTCAGGCGCGCGTCCGCGTACGCCTCGTTCCCGTACTCCCTCGGATCCTTCTCACCCGCTGCGCCAGCGAATGAAACGTCGCGCGCGTCGTCAGTTTTCGGTCAAACGTGCCTCTTCGTGAAAGAATAAAAGTGAATTCCTCGCGCGCGCCGCTCGACGCACCCTCGTTGTGAAACCCCTCGGCGTGTCGAATCAAGTAAACGGTCTTCGTCGCTCCCAAGGGAACGACCGCGACGTCGCGAGCGCTCTCGCTCGGGGGCGTTCGTACCCAACCCATGGCGTGCGTCGTGGTGTGACGCGAATACTGTTTGCTCACATAAGGTGATGTGAAGAAAACAAAAGACGGCTGGGCGCCGAGTCGGCACCTCGCGACACGATGCCGGCGTCCGCGGGGGAGTACTGCGCGTACGGTATCGGCTCCGCGCTCGCGTGTGTGTCAAGGGTGCGCGCGCGACGCGCGATCGCGCGCGCGACGAAACCGGCGACGCGCGCGACGGGAAACGCGTTGACGATGTGGTTTGAGAGGAAAGAAAATGGACGAGAGACTGACGCATACCGACGCGTATCATTCGCGCGCGACGTAGGGCGTGACCGGGGTGGGCGCGGCGATCATATTTCTCGTCGTATGGGTCGTTTTTAGCGTCGCCGGGGCGAGCACGGGGACGCTGAAGGAGACGGTGGCGCTCGAGGCGTGGGTCGGGTTGCTCACGATGGCGCCCTTCATTTGGAGCGCCAACATCAGGGAGCACACGAATTGGTTAATTTTGGTGTCGTTCTTACCGTTTCAGGCTGGTTTCGTGCCGGTGGGGACGATCACGCTGCAGAGGGTGTCGCCGGCGTACTTGGAGTTGACGTTTGCGGCGCTCATCGCGCTGTTCGTGGTGGAGCGCGTTGTCTCGGGGGCACGGGAGTCAAAGGCAAAGGCGGCAGTGGTGACGCCGGCGGGAGAGCTTGGGGACGAGGACGGCAACGATAACAGTGTCATCGTGGTCCTCGGCGGTGTTGAGGGAGAAGAAGTCAAACCTGTGAACTGGCGCAGGGAGCCGATAAAGTTCCTATACGCGCCCGTGGAGAATCGCGGATTCACGTTTAACGGGAAGAACTGGCAGTTCATGCTCATCTGGGCGTTCGCTGGGTGCGCGAGTGGATTCTTGGGGGGCATGACAGGCACGCACGGTCCACCAACGATCGCTTGCTATACGACGATGAAGGTTTCCAAGGATGTCACTCGAGCGACAAGCGCGGCAATTCTCGTCACCGTCATGTTGGCTCGGTTCGTCACGTACGCCATTAACGGGCTGTTCGTGATTAAGAAACCTGGTTTATACGGCGCCGCGGGCGCGTGCGGAATCGTCGGCGTCGCATTCGGCATCTGGGCTCAAAAGTTTGTCAACAAGGACCAATTCACTCGCATCTTGTTGGGCATTTTGGCCTGCGGCGCTGTGTTGATGTTGTACAAGGGCATCGTGGATCTGTAGACACGACGCTAACATCGTTGGGATCGCAATATCGTTCGTTAATATCAATACAATATCATACTAGTACAAGTACAAGTACTGTCGTTGCCTCTGCGTCGTCATCAACGTTAGACTTCCCGCCGAACATGAATCGTCCCGCTCGCGCGAGCACCAAATTCCTTCACATCTCGCAGCTCCACCGCCATGTCCGAACGCGCCGCCCGCCACGCCGCCGCCAAGACCGCCAAAGAGCGGGGTTCCGCTCTATACCGCGACGGCGACTATCAAGAGGCTGTGAAGGCGTTCAGCGAGGCGATTAAGGTCGCACCGAAGGACGATGAAGACTTAGCAGTATATCACAGCAATCGCGCCGCAGCGTACTTGAGACTGAACGACGCTCGCTCGGCGAAGAAAGACGCAGACGTGTGCGTGAAGGCCCGGCCGTTGTGGGCGCGCGGTTGGTCGCGCGTCGCCGCGGCGTGTGAGATGTTGGGCGACGACGCGGGCGCGGAGAAGGCGTATGAAAAATTGATTTCGCTCGATGGCGATAACGTAGACGCGCGAAGGAGCTTGAGAGCGGTTCGCGAGCGATTAGCAACTAGAGGTGCGCGAGGACGACCGGGCGGTGGGTTCAAGATCCCCTCGATACCAAGATTTTCGATGCCGAGCCTGGCGGATGCCGGAGTGGCTGTCGCAGCGGGAATCTCGATGGCGAAGATGCGGTACGATAGAATGTCCCCGAATCAACAGCTCGCGGTGAAGTGCATCTTGGGTGTCGTGATATACATGGTATTCACGCGCGTGTACAGGTTTCTGGGTTTCGGACGGTACTCGTATTATGATGATTACTATGACGACGTGGGATTTGGCGGCGGCGGTTTCTCCTTGTACTCAATCATCGGCGTCGTTGCCCTGTATTACGCTCACAAGAGCGGCGCGAGCTGGTGGAACTTGTTATCCATCGCGCAAATGTTTGGTCTCACGGGAGGCGGACGCCGGCGTGGATACGGAGGTTACGGACGATACGGCGGTATGCCTGGCATGGGCGGTTTCGGGCGCCCGGGCATGTTCTTCTGAGAGCACGAAAATACAGATGCATCGGGTACAAACTAACAACACACATCATTCTAGTTGAAACAAACCGCGCGCAACGAGCGCGCTTAGAACTTCTAAGTGGTCACAACAAACCATCGAGCGTGTCTCGAGAGTCCTCATGGTCGTGCTCGTCTTGTTCATCCCGCCTTTCGCACTTTCGCTTCTCACTCTTCCTATGACCAACCGATTTTTTTTTCTCGTCGCGGACGCGCTTAAAACCATCGTCCAGCTTTGCTGCGCACTTCTTGCACACTCGCAACTTGACGAGCGAACTCTTCGTCTCGCCGCGCTCGGCGTACCGAAAGTGACACTCAAACGTCCTCAACCCCTCCGTCCTCGCACACCGACGCTCCCCGCACGACAACTGTCCCTTTCCCGATCTCACTTCGCCCTCCGTTCGCCATCGCATCCCGATCTTCGCGCGTCCGCGCTCCGCGCCTTCGCTCGCCCTGGACACGTCGCAGATCGCAAACGTCTTGAACAACGCGTCGTGGTACCTTCGCGCCAATCTCACCCCCCACTCCCCCCGTCGTCGACCATCCTCATCGTCGTCGCGTACGAACCTGTGCTCCCTCGCGAGCGCGTCCGCGTCCGTCTCCGCGAACGGCGCGTCTCTCAGCGCTTCGCCGCGTCGCCGTTTCGCATTCGGCCCCTTGAACCACTCGTCGTACGCGCTTAGCATCGCCGCGTGCCTCGATCGCGGGCTCAGCGCGCGCGCGCGCGACGCGACCTCTCGCAGCGCGCGCTCGGCGACGTCTTCGGCGCGCGCGCGACGCATCGCGCGCGAGCGAACGGCGACGGCACGACGACAGCTGCCCGTGAAGCACACGGCGTGCGCCCACGCGAGACTGTTCGCCCACACGAACGGATGGGTTTATCCAACGCAGACGTGTCCACGGGCGGCGCGGACGTCATCGTGTTCGCCGAGCGCGTCGCCGTACGTCGACGCGCGCGAACGCATCGCGCGTCGCGCGTCTCGGAAGCGCGGCGCGCGTCTCGTGAGCGCGTCCACCGCGCGCGCGTCGTCGGTGGGGACGCGCGCGAGACCAGGGAGGTCGACGACGATCGGTCAAACGATCGATTGGGGACGATGGCGGAGGTGCCGATAATCATCGGTCTGTTCCACGGCTTCGACGGCACCGGACACTGGTTGAATCACGTGCTGATCGATAGATGGATCTTGGGGACGTCTAAGATCGGTGACGCGTACGATCCGAGCCAGTACTCGTTGCTGAGGAAGTTTTCGGTGATGTGGGCGTTTCTCACGGTTTTCACGTACGCGTTGTACTTCACGCTGTGTCCGTTGGCGTATTGGTGGCACTTCGTCCGGAAGGATAAGGATGGGAAAAATAACGCGAGGTGGACCGGACGGGAAGGGAAGGATCAGGTTAAGAATGAGATAGTGCTCTCGACGTGGTCCATCGCGGTGATGACGTTCATGATTGCTCCGTTTGAACTCATGGTCGAGGCGGGATGGACCAAGCTGTATTGGGACGTGGACAAGTACGGGAAGGCGTACTTCTTCCTCACGCCCTTGTTATTTTTAGTTTTCAGCGACACGTGCATTTACTGGATTCATCGGGGGTTGCACCACCGTTTGGTGTACGCGCCGGTGCACAAGCTGCATCACAAGTACAAGGACACGACGCCGTTTAGCGCGTACGCGTTCCATCCTTTGGACGGGTGGTTGCAGGGTTGCCCGTATCATTTGTTTATTTTCTTGTTCCCGATGCACCACATGACGTACTTCATCTCCCTGGCCATCGTCGGTCTGTGGACGATTAACATCCACGACCGCGTGACGATGCAACTCCCGCATGTCAACGGCGCGGCGCACCACACGATTCATCACACCATGTTCAACTACAATTACGGACAGTACTTTACGTTTTGGGATAAGATTGGTGGATCCTACCGCAATCCCATGCTTTACCCGCCTTACGCCGAGAAGTCGCCCGCGTTGACGGCGAGCGCGAAGAAGGACAAGTAGACGAAATCGCGCCCGACGAACATTTTAATACTGTGAAAGAGTTGCTCGGTACCATTGTCGCGAGCGTCGGACGAGCGTGCGATTAGAGGCGCAAAAAACTAGATGGAGAAATTTTTCGTAGTAACGTTACAGCGCAACCTGGACTTCTACTCGCGAGGCGTTATCCGACGCTTTGCGAGACCTTCCGATGAAACACGCGAAGCGCGCTCACAAGTACTTCTCAATGGTACCCGTGAGCGTGGACTTCGGCACGGCGCCGATCACAGTGTCTACCTTTTGCCCCCCCTTGAAGAACATCACCGTCGGGATCGAGCGAATCCCGTACTCGGTGGCAATGCTAGGAGACTCGTCCGTGTTGAGCTTCACCGCTTTGAGCTTCCCTTGGTACTCCTCCGCGAGTTGATCGATGAGCGGCGCGATCATGCGGCACGGACCGCACCACGGCGCCCAGAAATCAACCATCACGAGCGTATCGGACTTGAGCACATCCTGCTCGAACGTGGCGTCCGTGACGACGGTGGCGAGAGAGCCTGCGTATCGCGAAACGAGCGAAGGGGAAAACGTCAGTGATCTTGCGCTCTCGCGCCCGCGCGCATCGATGAAACGCGCACAATCCGCCGCGATTCGCGCGTAAATCATCCCATCAATATACCCCACGACCACGGACGCCACACACGTCCACGTCGCGTCCGAACGACCGCAACGCACGACCCCTCCGCGTAACCCGCGATCGCGACCCGTTCCCCATCCTCCCCCCCCCTTCGACGCGCGCGCGCCCTCGCGCCCCTCGCGTCACCCCCGTTCGACGCGCACGCATTTCCTTCGCCCGCGCGCGTCCTCGACCCCTCACCCGCGTCCTCTCGCGCGCGCGCGCACGCCATCGCCCCATCACCACCCGCGATCGCGTCGACGCGCGCCCATTCACTCGTGCAATCATTCAACGCGAACGCACCGCTCGTGGACGTCTCCTCGGCGCGCACGCGCGTGCGCGCGCGAGACTTTTTACCGCATCGCCCGCGCGGGGCGACGCGCGTCGAGGACGCGCACGGCGTCGACGCACGCGCGAGCATCGGACGCGCGCGTGGGCGGATATGGCGCTGACGTGGGCCTCGACGTCGAGGCCCATCGGGCGTGGTGGATATTCACGGGTCACGACCCAGCGGTCGAGGGACTCGAAGGCCCTCGAGGTCTCGAGGTCGGTCGCCTCGACGACGCATCGCGCGTCGCGCGGCGTCCCGCGTCGGCGCGCGCGCGAGATGTCGCGCGTGCGCGGGAGTAAGACGGTGACGATCGGCGACGCGACGTTGGAGGTGCGCGCGCGCGGACGTCGCGCGTCAGACGAGCGGGGTGCGGGAAAATGGGACGACTGACGGCTGCCGACGCGACGGCGCGATAGGTCCCGAGCTTTGTCAGCGCCTCGAACGAGCGCACGACGGCGCCGAGGAAGAAACACTTCCGGCAGCGGGCGCACTGTAACCCGTTGAACGATGGACAGTTTTACGCGCCCGTGATGCCGTCGGAGATGGATTGGCGAGGACATTACGAGGAGTTGTACGCGCGCGCGGAGGCGGCGACGGAGGACGCGCGCGCGCGGAGCGAGGCGGTGAAAATACGGTTCGCCGACGTCGGATGTGGGTTCGGAGGGTTACTCGTCAGGCTCTCTGGGGTGTTCCCGAATAAGGTGATGCTCGGGATGGAGATTCGGGATAAGGTGAGCGAGTACGTGCGCGCGCGGTGCGTCGCGCTGCGGCGCGACCACCCGGGGGAGTATGAAAACATCTCGTGCGTGCGCGCGAACGCGATGAAAAATCTGCCGCAGTACTTTGAGAAGGGACAGTTGGAGAAGTTGTTTTTCCTTTTTCCTGATCCGCACTTCAAGGCGGCTAATCACAGGAGACGCATCGTGACGACGACCTTATTGGCGGAGTACGCGTACGTCTTGCAAGAGGGCGGGATTTTGTACACCATCACCGACGTCGAGGAACTGGGGACGTGGATGTCCGATCACATGTCCGCCCATCCTATGTTTGAGCGCGTTCCCGAGTCCGAGCTCACCATCGATCCCGTGGTACCACTTCTGTATACGGGAACCGAGGAGGGGCAAAAGGTTGAGCGAAACTCTGGATCGACGTTTCTCAACGTCTTCCGCCGCGTCCGCAACCCGCACGCGTGAGCTTTGTAATACGTATTAGCCTAATATCTAGTCGTTACATCGGTTTCTCGAGCGTATTACGTTCGATCACCGTCATCTCTATCTACATCGACGCGCTTCGCTCGCTCGCTCGCTTTGCGACGCGCCGCGCCAGTCGCCGTTCACGCATCCTTTGTCTGCGCGCGCTCCCACGCCACGCGCCTCGAGAGCTGATACAGCCCCGTCGCCGCCATCACCACGTTCACCGCCATCAAGTTATAGTTCACCGGCGTGATATCCAGCGCGTACTTGGTCCAGATTAACCCAGTGATCGTCACCGCGCTCTGCTGCGGGACGCTCAGGAGCTCGGGTGGGCGGCTGAAATCTTTCACGTTGGCGGCGGTGATGCCCCACTTCATCGTGGGCGCCCAGAAGAATATAGTCTTCGGACCCGCGGGATGGTTCCAAAACGCGCGCGCGCTCGAGGCGAAGGACATCGTGCGCGCGAGCGAGTGCGGTCTGGGACGGAGGGTTTGGGTGCGGCGAAACGTCGAGCGCGGCGGAGCGTCGCGCGATTGTAAGGCGCTGAGTCGAGGCTATAGAGGTCGCATCGAGAGATGAACGGTACACGTGATGGGTGATTATCATCGTTTGAGCTGCACGGCGACGCCGTTGTCGTCTCGACGCATGGTCTTGCCGTCGAGCGGGGACTCGACGGCGGAGCCGTCTACGTGGTTTCGAGCGTTCTTGGCGCACACCGCTTTTCGAGCGTTGGTCCTCTTGAGTTCGAGCGCGACGTCGACATCGGCGGGTTTTGGGACGTCTTGTGCGAGGGCGACTGATTCGGCCCACGGTTTGAAGTCGACGTCGACGTCGCCGTCGTCGTAGTCGATACGGAAGGAAAACTTGTGCGGGTCAAAGTCGGTGAGCGTCCCGGCGAAGAATGCGTTGTCTCGTTCCCATAGCACGACAAGTCTCTGGCCCAGGGCGCGTTCTTTTCGAAGCGTCAGTGTCGCTCCGATTTGTCCCTGACGCGCGAGCTCGATGACTTTCAGCTGAAGGCACTTGGATTGGCGCTTGCTGCCGACGCTCAACTTCATGTCCGTCACAAGTGAATTTCTCGTCTTGCGCTTGGGGACGGAGGATTCGTTCACCACAGTCTCGGCGACGCACACGTTACACTTTCCACAAGGTGTTGGATCGGTGAACAGCCGCTGATTGTTACGTTGCACGACTGGATTTTGAGGGCGCTCGAGATTTCTGGCATTCGTCCAGCGACGCGCGCGATCGATCATGCGCGTGAAAGTGCTTCTCGCTGTGAACATTGGTTGCTTCATCGCCTCAGCATAGAACGTACAGAACGGATACACCTTGGACTTTTTCACCCAGGCGAATGAATGCTTGTCGTCGAAAAACACCACTAATCTGTGTTCGTCGTCGGAAACTTTCGAGGCGAACCCGCCCGTTCGAGCACTCTCGGGAATGACGGCGTGATCGTCGAGCGGATGCAACGCGACTCCCGGGTAAAACATCTTCTTTCCACGTACGCTCACCTGCCAGTCTACCCAAACAGCCTGCCCATGTGTCGTCATGCCATCTTCGTCGAGATCGTGCTCACCGTCTTCATCCTTCTTTCTCTTTTCCTTCTCTTCTTCTGTCAAGCCCGCCAGCGCATCCTTCTCTGTGTCGCTGGAGGAGCCCGAGTCGGAAAAGTATTCGTTCACAGCCTGTTCGTCATAGTCGTCCACGCCCTCCAAAATGTCGTACTTTGGTTTCTTCGATTGTGATTGGCCCACCGATACGATTTCTCCGTCGACGCGCTTCACATCCAACGCTTCTAGGATCGTGGAATCAATGTTCTCATGACGCAATTCTAGCCTCCGAAGGAAACCGGCTCGAAGCTCATAGCGAACCGGCTTGTTCGTCGTAAACTCTAAAAAGTCACCCAAGGGCGTAAATCCTCGGATCAAAGGAAACTCTGACATGTCACTGGGCGCTCGCATGCGCCCAGTCCACTTTGGAGCGCCGTTAACGAACAGCATGTTGTACGCGGCGAGCGGCCACGCTTTCGATCCTCGATCGCGCGTCGCCGGGCCGGGGCATGGGTTCTCAAACTGTAAGGACAGAGCATCATAAGAGAACTTGACGCTATAAGGACGCTTAAGCTGCTCACCGAGCCAGTGGCTCTGCGGAACTGAGCACGCGAGGCCGAGAAGAGCGAATCTTCTAAACGTTTGCTGTTCGCGATCGAACACTGGATGCCTCTGATTCGGCGCAACCAGAGGAAAGCACGGTTCAGTGTATCCACACGGAAAGCCCATTAGACGCTCTGCGTCCTCGATCGCCAACATATTGAGCTCCGCCTTGCCCTTGTTTCCCTTTTTGGTCGCTACACACGTGCGACGACCGTTCGATGTCGTGAAGCAGTGCATGATGTCGCAGCACGGAGCTCGGCGTTTTTCTCCGAGGTCGATAGACGCGGCAAAGACTTTTGTCGGTACTCTCGGTGGCGTAACGAAACAGTCGTAGCACTCGCTCTGCGTCCCGATTTGCACACACTCACCCTGGCACATCGCGTTCTGCGAAAGTAATACATCTCGCGGATCTCCATGGAGACTAGCGACGATGAACACTCTTCGTCGTTTGTGAGGTAACCCAAACGAGAGTAAATCGACGACTCGATGCGCCCAACGATATCCCAAGTTCTCGAGTTCAGAGACGATGTAATCGATCGCTGGGCGCTGTTCCGCGTCGGTACCGGAGCCGTGCCACTTCAACAAGCCGACGACGTTCTCCAGGACGACCCATGGAACTCTCTGACCTTCGAGCAGGCGAAAGACGTGCGAGACGTGTCGAGTCGACATCCCAGACTCCAAACCGGGTCGCTGTAAATTTTCACACGAGCAGTCGTTGCACGGGAAACCGGCGAGAATGCAATCGATGTCAGTGAGCATACTTGGTAATACCTCGGCGACGTCGTTTAAGAGCGCGACGCCGGGGAATCGAGCGGCGAGGACCTATATGGTTGTCAGCGTTGCGCCTCGTGCGTGCCGGCAGCACGTACCTGTTTGCAATGCGGATCTTTCTCAGCCATGAGCGAGATTCGATGCCCTGCCTGCAGGAGCCCGAGATCGAGTCCGCCAATGCCCGAGAAGAGTGATGCCACTCGCAGGCTCACCATGTCGTGTTCTGAGGATTCTGAGGTATTGAGCATCGAGACGGGACGAGACGAGACGAGCAACGAGTCATCGACAACGGCGGGACTTTTGTCGAATGAGAATTCTCGGACGAGAGGCGCAGTATCTTCTCTCTTTACTTAATTTACACGCCACGTCACACGACTAACTTAAAACTCGTGCCCAATAAAATTTGAGAAATCCTCAATAACATCTTTCTCAATCCAGCGCGCCACGGCTCAACTGTCATCTTCGTTTTCCTTTAAAATCCTGTTATACAACATGTCCGGATCGGCGCAATCCGGATCTTCCGCGAGCGATTCATCCGTGGATCTTTCCAACGAACAAACCAACGTCGCTCGCAAGATGTCCAAGTTGGTTCGCTCAAACTTCTCCTGCGCCTTCTCCCCGCCGAGTCCTCGGTTGAAGTAACTCCTCCAACGTCGCATGAGCACCACGCGCTGCGCCAATATCCTCTGCGCGTGATCGCTCCGTCCCTCCGCGAACAACTTCTTCACGAATTCATCCCCTCTATTCTGATACTCCGTCGCGGCGAAGTTATACAGCCACTTGTACTCACCCTTACCGGGCGAGAGATCCGTCTCTTGTATCTGCGCCAGCGTCTCCTTGAGCGCTCGAAAGGTGAAATAATTCATCAACACCGAGTCCACGTCGTTGAACGTCTGCGCACGCGCGCGCGCGCGTCGTCAGTCACCGCGCGCGTCTATCGACGTCCGATTCGCCGTCCCGCGTGCCCTCGATCGACTCGATCGTCCTCTCGCGCGTCTCGCGCGCCGCGAGCTGATGCATTCAATTTGAAACACGATGCGCACGCACGTCGCCGTAACTCCCGCCGAGATCGCCTCGGCGAACGACGGCGCGTCTGTCGCGCGCGCTCGCGGTGCATCGCGCGCGCGCGAACGCGGGGATGGACGGGGTGCGCGCGAGCGCGCGCATGGTCAACGAGGCACCTTTTGAGGGGTGGCTGGCGCGGGGGTGCCCGCCTCGCGCGACGCTGGCGAGAAGACGCGCGTCGGGTCGATCGATATCGGGTGTCCACGGCGTCGGCGAACGATTCGGGGTGAAAATATTCGTGTGCTGTTCAGGAAAGGGGTGACGCCGCGCGCGCTGGAAGGGTCGCGCGCGTCGGCTCGGGGGCGCCCGAGGCCCGCGTCGCGCGCTCGAGCGAAGAGACGCGACTCGTACTCTTACTCGATGGACACCGCCGGCGCCGCGACCGACGCCTTGGTCGCGATATCCCTGTCACTCGCCGGCATCCTCGCGCTCGATCGTCGGGGCGTCTCCGCCGGGGCCTGCCCGATGAGATCGACCACCTTGTACACGCCGAACAAGACGCCCGCGCCCACCGCGAGCGTCACCAGCGTCCCCACCGACGGCGCCCCGCCCTCGACGACCTCGAAGTCCTCGCCTCGGATCGTGTCCTCGCGCACCAATCCGGATCGAATCGGATCACCTCTGGCGTACCGGCCCTCCTTGAGCGTCCGGCTCTCCGGTCGAGCTCCGTACGACTCTGGCGCCGTTTCTTTCCGCCCATCCGGGAGCGAGCTCACGAGCTTCCCGATCAATCCACCGACCTCTTCGTCGTCTTCCGCGGCGCGGCGGTACCGCGCGCTGTTCTCCGCTTCGTCTCCGCTCGCGCGGACGACCGCGTTGGCGCTTCGAGCGGGCGCGGTGCGCACGACGCGCGCACGCATCGGCGTCGTGGACGTCGACGTCATCGAATGGACGCGTCGTCGAGCGTCGCGCTGTCGTCGACGCACCGGCGCGTTCGAGCGATGCGGGACGCGCGGGACGGTGGTGGCGGTGATGCTGGACGTCGCGGCGGCGGTGGCGATCATTCGGAGCTCGTGCGCGCGCGTGCGAGTGGGGACTCGGCGAGGGCGAAGACGCGCTCGTCGCGACGGCGGCGGGAGATTGGAACGATGAATGTGTCGTTCGTAAAAAGAAATCAAATGGGCGTGCTTGCTACGGTGATGGTTAAGAGACCGTCGAGATCACTTTGCGCGAGCGCTCAAGGGTCCGCTCTCCGGATTGAAGTTGCGGCGAAGCGCGTCGCGGTTTCCGCCGAGGAAACGGACGAGCGAGAGAAGCTCGTCTCGGACGAGCCAGGCGCGAACGGCGCCGCGATCGGCGACAAGACAGCCAATATTGTGCGATGGGACCTCGAACGGAGAGTTCAAACGGGAGAGCGTGGCCACGGCGCGCTCTTTGACGGGTGAGTGCCCGTACACTGTGCTGTGCTTTCCCCAACCGGTGACCACTTGAATTTCTTCGGGGAGATCTCGAATATCGACCGGGATCGACTTCTTACCGGCGGTTAAACCACTTACGAGCGCACGCGTGCCCTTGCCCGCAGCACGAACGTCGAGAGGAGCCAAAGCTCGCTGACGCATGCGACGCAGCCACCACCGTAATACGCACTGCGCCGTGCCCGCGGACCGGATTCTGTGCAAATCTAACACTCCCAAATCGTCCTCACATTGGAAGAAACCTTCAGCTTGCGCTTGCTCGAGCCATGTAGTCGCTCGCTCCCACTGCCCCATCTCTTCGCACACGTCGATGAGGGCGTCAAAGGTGAGCGCGTCGGGCGTGATACCTTCTCTGGACATCTGCTTCATCGCCTCACCCGCCTTCTGCCACTCGTTTCGTGACTCGTAAGCAATCAAGAGTGAGTTGTATGAGTGCACAGTTCGATCAATGCCCTCCCGCATCATATGATTAAACTCTTCCTCCACTGCAATAAATTCATTGTTGACGTCGAGTGTACGGAGCAACGCGTCGCTGACGTAGCCGCTCGATCCGGGCACGTTCTCGAGCGCAGGATCGTCCGCGATCGCGCGTATCAACACTGGGAGATTACCGATCGGTGTGTCGTTGACGTCGCACTTGCGCTTTTCGATGTCAGAGAGATCGAACCCATCCTTCTCCGCTTGCTCGATCGCTTCGCGGAGCGCTTGCTCTCGCTTCTGCTGAAGCTTTTCGATACCGCACAAGCAGTCGAGCGTGATGGCGTCCGGAGCGAAACCAGCGAGGATGAGCTCTTTGTACACATTGGCCGCGCGTTGCCAGTCTCGCTCGGCGCTCGCTTCCATTAGGAGCGTGTTGTACGTCACGAGCGTCGCGCGCACACCCTCAGACTCCATCACTCTCAACACGCGCTGCGTACCGGCGAGGTCACCAGTCTTGACGCACGCGCCGAGAGCGCTGTTAAATATGACAGCGGTCGCGTGCAATCGCGGCGCGATGACGACCTGGTGCAGCAGCTCGAGCGCTCGATCGATGTTGCCGCTGTTACCGTGCGCTGTGATGAGCGCGGTGTACGTCGTCTCGTTCGGCATGACCCCGGCGCGTTGCATCGCCTGACTCATCGATTCCATGTCTCGAATCCGACGCTGTCTGCCGAGCGATTGCAACATGCCGTTGTACGTCGTTACGTTCCTACGCACGCCGTCGGCTTGCATGCGCTCAAAAATCGCGGCGGCGTCCTTGTACCGTCCAGAGTTCACCGCGGCGGAGAGAAAGGCGTTGTACACGCCCGTGTCCAACTGCACCTGCGTGTTCGAGATGATGTTCTCGAATAATTCGCTCGCCTTTTCGAACTGCCCGCCCTTTCCGTAGGCGCTGATGAGAGAGGTGTACACGCGCACGGAGGGCGTCCACGACTGGCCGCGTCCGCGGAAATCCCGCTTCATCTCTTCAAACGTCTGTTCGGCCAGCCTCCACTCGATCGCTCGAGCGTACGCGGCGATAACCTCGTGATAGGTTTTCTCATCCGGACCCGGTCCTTGCTCACGCATCTCCCTCAAGAGCGCCGTCGCGTCGTCGCTCGCCGGCGGCCGCGACCGCTTACACGCCCTCAAGGTTTGATTGTAAAACGCAAGCGGCACCGCCACGTTATTCCTCTCCCCAGTCCTCTTCATACGCTGCAGCGACGCGATCGCTTGCGGCGCGTCACCCGTCTCCGCCGCGCGCAACATCACCGCCGCGTCTCGCGACCACAACTCGTCATTCGCGTCCCACGCCGCGCTCGACCCTCCCTCCTCATCCGTCGACCGCAACGCTCGCTCGAGATCGGCGTACGACGACGACCCTCCGCTTCGTCCCCCCGCCCCCCCATCAC